AGCGATTTCGATACCGCCGTAATCGACGTACCCGCCGACTGCTGGCTCGGACTGCGGCCGACTCTTCATTTGCACTAGACTTAAATCAAATAAACACGGATTTCCCTATTACGCGGATCTTTCTAAATAGTTTTCAAGGAGACACGCGAGACTTCTCACATCCGCCCCCTCGCACTCCTTCCCCTAATTACTCCCCATACCTGCTTTCCGGAACTCTTCCTCCCAGTTACTCCCCGGCGCATGACACACAACCTGACCTTCAGTCTGATTTCCCGCCGCTATCACCCTCTCCTTCTCCACTCAATGCAACCCTCCCCGACTCTCATTTCTTCTCTCCTCCCGTTCTTCCTCCTCCTGTCTTTTCCGACATCGATCTTAGCGATCGAAACGTCGCGGTAATTCTTCAACTTATGCTCCGTACCCGTACCCCATCCTTCCGGACCAATTCACCTTGGGGCCTGGTTCTATTCACATACCTACCCTCAAAGCTTTTCTCCGGACTGCCCCTTCTGACACCTGTATCCCCTGTTTTACTTCCCTTACCCTATCGCTATTCCCATAGAATTCTTCCGAGAAAGATATCCTCTCGATTCTGACCAGACTCCCTCCGTCTCGCATACACACACACACACACCCACACATACACACACGATTATACTTAATATTGTACTTAATCAAGATTAAGATGTTCACATAAATACTCAACTTCATATATAAATGTTCTTTGTTTGGTTTTCATAATGTATAATAAACTTAATTAAATCGATTCTTTTGCATTCAACTTAATCGATTCCCCCTCATCAACCACGCTCCTGAATCGTACTTGGTCCCGTCCCGGGTAAAAAGGATTAAGTTCCTTTACTGAAAAGGGGACCGACGAGCGGGCATTTGGACCAGAAATAGTGTAAAATCGACTCTTGCGGTCGTTGACCTATCTTTGGCTCTCCCGCAGGCTCGCTCGACCCGAGACACTTGCCCTTAAGGCACCTGTTCTCGGGATGCACGTGTACGCCCTTCCTTCGGTCCATCCTTCCTCGGGTCTGGACGTAACAGTCTGATAATAAAAATTTTGATTATATATATTTAACTACATTTATCCGATTGATACCGCGTTTGATGTTGTTTTAAAATTTATCGTCATTGTCGCAAAATTTTCATTGTTCCATTACAATTACTCGCATACCCTTATAAATATATCTTAAAATGATTAATTTATTTATTTCTCACGATTTGTCATCGGTCGCTTGCCAGCGGCAGGCTTGATAACGAGATGAATATGACAGTATATGAGTACGTAAGAGCGAAAAGAGTGAAACAATAACAGAAGCGAGCGAGAGAGAAATAGTATGCCAGACTGCAAGAAAGACTCGGTTTTCGAGTCTTCGTTGCTTGTTCTATTCTTATCTCGCTCGCTCTTATTGCCATTTCGCTCCCTCTTATTACCTTCTCGCTTGTTCACATACTCCCGCGTACACTATATATATATATATATATATATATATATATATATATACATACATATACATATACATATATATAAGTGTATAAAACGACTGTTCGTGCTAGATTAATTAATTATTGTGAATCTCAAAATAAAGTACGAAACATTATTGCGTATGATCTTTTTTTCATTTTGGTAATATTTATTATTGGAATAACATACACATATATATTTTATTAAAATACTTTTATTGAAATTATTAAAACATTAAATTTTAAGTGAAATAAGCATTTTAATTTTATATATATTATACACGCATATACATATATATTACTTTATAATATATGCTAAAGTGAAAAAAGATCACGCGCTGTTAATAATATGTAATAAAAATTAAGAAATGTATGATATGTTTTGTACTTTTGAGATCCACAATTATGGATATAGCACGGACATGAACCAATCGGTCGTTTTACCGTGGCAGCGAAAAGTGAATCCGGCCACGTAGTACCGCCGGCCGTAAAATGAATCCAGTTAGCGCCACTTTATGGCGGGGAAAAAGCGTTCCCTGAAAAAGGGCAACGTGACTCCTCTCAGTCTTCTCTCTGGTATCAGAAATTGAAAAAGAATTATTTCATAGAAAAACGTGTCACACGGAAGTAAAGGCAATGATTTATTTAATCTTTTTCCCAAATGTTTAGATACAGTTCACACAAATATATACAGACGTTACTGAGCACATTTACAACGGTTTGCATTGAAATCTGTGATCGCGCGCGTGATTCGCACCAATATATAAGCAAATACTTGGAATTTGTGTCGCGAGGTATTAGCCGCGTCGCGCGTATACAATATTATGTATACAAATAAATTAGACCTAAACTAATTTATATATACATAAATTATCTAGGTACACACACGAAAATGTTACGACATAACTAGCGCATTAATTCACCATGTCTGCCTCGTGAAACAGCGATAATATACTAGTCTGGCAATATAAAATATATCTTATTGTATATGGTCCTGATTATTTTCTTCGTCAGAGATTGACATAGAATCAAATAATCTAACGATCAAACATGAGTCGCGCATACAAATATTATTAAGAAATAATTATAATTTATGAATAAATATCACGTTAAATATGCGTATTATGTGCAAAATATCGTCTTTTTTTTGCGATTTTATGAACATTGGAGGAAAAGAGGAGAAAGGGTAGGAGAGGAGAGATTGTATGTATTAATATAATGATACAATGCATGGGCCAAGGGTACGTTTCGGCAAATTACGACGCAGTCTCAATATCTTTTTCTGGCACTTAGATTAATTAAATCGCATTGCGTACGACTCGTTTCGTTTGTTTTCCTTCTATTGGTGCGCACACATCGCGATAGTCGTGCGATTAATTATATATTCTATCATAAATATATAATAAAAAAATTATCTATTTAATCATTTGGAGAATCAAAGTTAGTAAAAGATGACAAAACTTCATACTTCATAGATCACTTTATTCTTGATATATAATTGTACGTGAAAAGCACCGATAAGTTTATTTTCATCCGTAGTAATTATAAAAATATTTACGTACACAAATTAGAATATTTTAAAACCAGATATCTCAATATGTCATATCAAAAAGAAGAAGTGACTTTTTGATGCAAAATGTAAATTATTTAGGATTTTGCCCTTCACACATACGTACACGCTCAATTATTTAAAAAAAAGTGATCTGTAAGGTATAAGTTTTTGATCAACTCTAGCTAATAAGTCTTTTTTCGTATAGAATTTGAAAGATTTTTGTATAGAAAAGGAACATTAATTATTGTTGCAACATTAATTGAATTTTCCGATTCTTCTTTTCGGTACATAAATAACGAAGAATGGAATGTATTTGTATCAAGTCACGGATGATTATAATAGAAGACTTAAGTGTCTTCGTGAAATGCGATTTTATGTTGTTCCTAGTTTCTAACATGAGTATTTAGTATGATGCGAGTATCGCTTCAGCTTATTCGACAAAATTTCCAGTTAAATGGTCGTAGGAAACTCATATAGATATCCATAGAAAATAACATTTAAACACGTACACATAAATGTGTGTATCGTATACATGCATATACGAAAAGTATGAGAAAGATATCATTTTGTGTTGCTGGCATTATTTTCAGCCATGTTAAAGCTTTCAGATCGATTCATAAGAGAAAATATTCTTCAATAATACGATTTTCTCGCGCTAGCTTACACGTAAAAGAATGAATTTACGATCTAAAATATATCAGCGTATAGAGAATTCATCGCTCGCGATGATAAAAATGAAAAAATTGTTCCGACAACGAAACATTTATGAGATATTGTCATTTATGAGATATTGTAGTATAAATTAAACTGAAGAAATTAAATTCTCGCTTATTTTTTAATCCTATCTATAATCATATATAATTATATATTTTTTATTATATTTATATTTTCGTCAGTTATATCGTCGGCATGTATTAATAAATATATGTTGGTATATATTAATAAATGTCTCGATGTGTTAATAAAATTTGGTCAGATTCTTTTATGTCTCTTAACATCACGATATGCTGCCTGATATTTGTACGACATATAATTATTCTGTAATAGTGAATAACTCTGAGATAACTGCGATTAATTTACTTGTCCATTAGAACCTCATCTCGAGTATAATCTTATTTCGTAAAATCATTCGAAATCGCTCGCGCTTTTGTTTTACTCCATTATTCAGCTAACGTATTGTCTATTACAGTTGTCATACGTCACACAACAAGATTATTTAATTATTTCGGTTCATAACAATAGTGAATTAGCCGAGATATCGGGATCAAACATGCTTTTAGCAAATTGATTGTAAATTCGATCAGGTCACCTCGATAAAGCATTCTTTAAAAGGCCGAAACACGAAACATCAGAATCTTACATTTAACATTCTCAATAGCTTGTCTCTTTGAGTCATATACAGTCTGATATATAGTGAGCAATGTTTGCTGGTATTTAGATAAAATTATCTAGATAATCATCTAGATAAAGAAATGGATCATTTTTATCTTTAACTAGATGAAGAAATATAAAATATCTTTATCTTTATCTTAGATGAAAAATATGTCCTCTTATCTAAAAATTGTCTAAGATGATGTTTTCATTATGCAAAAAAGTTTTCCAGGCAAGCTTCTAAAAATCTATCTAAAATATCTAAAATATTTTTTTTATATTATTATTATTAATATATTATAAATATATTATAAATATAAATTAATAAATAAATATTTATTATATCATTTATATACCTTTTTGCTATTATTTACATATTCTTTAGGAAAAGAGAAAGAATGTGTTTATGATTTTAATATCCCATTTATAATCTGCGTCACATTATAAATATTTATAGTCTTCTAAAATAAACAAAACTATCTAAATAATTATCTAGATTATCGCAATAATTATCTCATCTTTCATCTAGATTAAGTAAAAGCAAAATCATCTTTATCTCAACTAAGATAAATTTACAGATTTTTATCTTTACCTTTATCTAGATAATTTTGAAATTATCTACAGCAAACACTGATAGTGAGCCAGATTTAAACATTTAGCTCCGATAAATGCGATTATCTGCTCCATTTTCTCGTTGTAAACTATTCGTATGGATCGTTAACGAAAGGGATAAAGAATACGATTTAAAGATCCTCAAAGAGAACAAAGTACGCGCTCTTTTTCAAAGATAATTCCAGGTATTCACACCTTTGCTCAATGAGATTTAAACATTGTGGCGACTGATTAAGCCAAGTAAGTCCTCGGATTAGTTTTCGAGACACCCGCGTCTCCCTTGGCGGAGCAGGACGACCATGCCTCTTCCGCCAGACTGCCGTATCTTTGCACGCCCGGAAAGGGTGGTCCGGAACTCTGCGGCGAATAATAGCCGCCTTGCAACTGGTGATAATAATTGCCGCTGGACTGTTGCTGGTACTGTTGATACGGCTGCTCGCCACCGGTTAGGACGTTGCTGTAGCCCGAGTATGAGTACTGGGACGAAGAGTATGAAGAGGACGAGTAACCGCGTTCGCTTAGACTGCGGTAAGGCCCCGCGTGATGGGGCCTTCCCTCCTGTCAGACCGGGGTGCTCACTGCGGCCGTGCTTATGTACTCGATATCGCCGATGCTCTTGACGCGACGGTGCCGCTTGCCACCGCTACCGGTCGTCATCGGCCGTGGCGGAAGCTGCGGCGGTGGCGGCGAGGTGCTGCGGACGCTGCTGCTCATATACTGGCTGGCGAGGCTACCGGTGTCCGAGGACGACGATGGTGATGCTTTCTCGCTTCTAGGCCGAAGACCGAACGCTCTGCTCAGGGATCCCTGTGAAAAGCCATACGTTCGGATAATGAAATTCGTTTATGCATTTTTATAGGCTTAGTAGATCTCGACTTTCTAGAGGGGTCGAAGCTACGAGCAAATGAGCGACCGGGAGATGCCCATGTGCCGATAAAGGTTCGGAAACTTAAACGATTTTGTAAAGATTTTTTTTCTAAAAAGAGAGTCAACTAAAAAATTGAAAAGTTTTCAAGTATTTTTTCTGTCTTTTGAATTTTTGCGTTGCTTGGGAATTATCGAGTTGAGGGGACACTACGGAGTGCCTGGAAATTTAGATAGCGACTTGAACTGTTAGATAACTAGTTGAACTTTTTTTGTATTAATAAAACTTAATATCTATAATTTTTTTATATAAGCACTCTGTTAATTTACCTAATGTAACTGAGACTTCTTGTCGCATATTTGTGATATTCGCACAAAAGTAATTATATTCGTTATCTAAATTTCCAAAGATCTACGAGGCGCGGGTTCAGAATTCGCTGATGATTTTTGCGTGAATGAAAGCACGACGTAAAATGTCAAAGAAAAAAAAATCCTCTCGTTTACTCCACAACAAGCATCGGCAGGCCCATCCTGATCACAATAAATCAAATGATACGGTGCATGAGCGGGATTGCCAGTGAGGACACTACGAGACGGGGACACTACACGGGAGATATATAAGTACGAATTTCGTCTGTATTAATGATACGCATACCTGTGAGCTTCTCCATGACAACTAGCAAAAGGATGAAATAAGGTCGATTAAGAAATCCACACACGTTGATAATTTTCCACATTGAAATCGCCAGTTTATATTTACACAATAGATTACGATGCGGGCGATCGCGGGACACCGCGGTGCCCCTTGGTAATCATAAATAATAATATTATGGCCCGCTATAAATAATACGGAACTGTATCAGGCTACTGGTAATTCGAGCTGCGTAATTGCATAATTTAAACCGCTACTCGCTATAAAGGTGTACCTTATAAGACACGGGACACTCTGGTTACATACATGAGGAGGACACGTGTTTGGCTAATGTATATGCTCATTATATACAGTGTTTACAATGTGGCATAACGCGTACGTCGGTGTACTTAGCACCGAGAATGGGTGTATAATCGCGGGATTAGATAATGTGCAATTTCGCCGCGATGTTGGAAATCGATAGACTTCTGAATTTCATTAGTCGATTAGTATCATCCCCCCCTTTCTTGATGCCCTTAATTTATTTATCGTATTAATACTTCTAGATAAGAGTTGCGCTTTAAGGGGGGATTCTCAAATAAACAGCAGCAAAAAAAGAAGCAGATTTTTGGAATTTTTTTTAAAGAAAGTATTTAGTCAAAATATCTCAAACTTTAGTAGTGTATTTACATAAGAAAATAGAATATAAAAATATTTTTTTATTAAGAAAAGTATGTATTTAAATATAGATATTGACGCCCGCCTTCAGCGCTTTTCGGCGTCGCAGGCGGCAACGGTGTGCAGTCTAGCATCCGCTGCAATGGTCTAAAATAGAAAAATAAAAGTTATTTATTAATTATAGATCATTACGCATCGCTTTAACCTGATTGAACAAGAAAGAAAACTAAATTGAAAAAATAGCGATATTTGAAAAAAAACTTGCAATTTTTCCATAAAAATTTTCATCTTTATTGTGAAATAAAAATTATTTATTTTAAAATTTATGTTAATTTTTGTGGTTCATTCGATGAAAAATGTAATTTTCTACATGTATAGTACTGAAAGAAACCAATTGGTCAAATATTTTTTTAGTTATCCTGCACACCAGTTTGAAAAAAGTGATTTTGAAAAAAACGCGTTTAAAGTTTTTGGTTATAAAAAGTAATACTTTTTAATACTTACAGCCCTAATCGACGATTCCAGGGCCATATAGAAATGGCCTTCCACATGTATTAGAATTGATTTAAGCAGAGAAAAAAGAAATCGATTTTTTTAACCTGTTACATGAGAATCCCCTCTTAATTGTCAAACGGAAAAGCATCGATTTGACAAATTTCCTCCCCGATATTTCGCAGAGTAAGAGTAAAATATTTCTACGAGCGAATAAAAAATATGTACAATTATTACCCGTTGCGTTTTCCAACATGCATACACGCAAGCTTAGATTATAAAAATTTATTTTAAATAGAGAAACACATACGGAGAGAGATAAATCCGTTTTTCTCCGCGCGAATATACTTCCTTTTCTCAGTGCGACAGATTGTCTAGCAATCTGATTGGACTATAAAGACGGAAAAATGGTGTACAAGTAGATGATAATAGATACAAGGAAAAGGTGTTTCTTCGCGATCCGTTCCGATTTCGTTCTCTATAACTGCCGGACTACAAGATTTAGGCTCGTGTTCCATCAGTCTTTCTCTCTTTTCTCTTGCGAGCGAATTTCTATCGCTGATTCAATGCGGATGGACCTTGGATCCGGTATTCGCACACGCGATCGAATAGACCGACAATTGAAAGTTTCTCAATTACCCCAAAGCCTTTACTCTTGTTGTACACGCCAGACTTTTCGTTTTCATGATTACTCCTTTGCTCGTATTTTTCAGGTCTGTATCGATCAACGTCGAGATCCATAGGAATCACCCGGATCTCAGCGAAGCGTTACTTGAAATAAAAAGCTGATCAATTACCGTTAATCGAAGAAAATATATCTCGGTCTTCTCGCTTCGCTGAGATAGAAGATCTTGTTTTCTTCGAGCGAGGAAGCGTTGACGAGAAAACGCTTTGTCGCTCCACGATGCCGATACATTTGTCATCATACTAATGTGTGTATGTGTATGTGGCTTCCTACTTTACTTTCCTAGAAAAGAATACGGGATACGAGTTCGCGATCGATCGAGATTATTTCATAATTTGATTGTCACGATTAGATATACAAATATGCATATTTTACAACATTATTTGAGAGTTTCATCGTAAAACAATTTTTCTGCGAAATTACAGAAATTAATTATAATAACATTAAAAATTGCACACGATCGATTGCTCACTCACTTGTCGTCGCAAAGATCGTTTTCGCTAAGTCTTTCGCAAGTTTTGAAAATGACCAAGTGATAAAAGTAATTAAATTAAAATTCAGAGTGTGAGATAATTTAGAAATCAATAATCATGAGATTGGACTTAATCTCAATGGTTTACCGATTAAATAAAGACTTTGCGAAAACGTGCTTTAGTTTAATCGACTGTAGCGAGACTCCGTAATGGGGATTCTATGGCATAATGGAACAATGTACAAAGAATTTTAAAGAGAAACAATGGATATGTATATATTTATATATGTATATAAATACCGAACCTTTTTCAAGTAAAGAAGACTGCAGGTCTGCGATGATCCACAGGATGCAGGGACAATGATTAACATTAGGTCGAGCTCATAGCTCACAGCATGAAATTCTGTCATTGACTTTCGTCGTATGAAATTTTGACGAATTATCTGGACTTTTCTCTTTCATACAAAAAACTAGAAAACTAACGATTTTTTTGAATAAATATATTACGAATATATATTGAACATTGATATTCTTTATTCTTGTTCACTGATTTATTTATTTATTTATTACATAAAGAGCATAATATGTATGTATATATGTAGGTATATGTATGTATGTATTATAAATTTATATACAACTGATAAAATTGTTTTATTTGATGTGCTAAAAAATAAAATATATTGCCACGATAATATTAATTATTATAATTGTAAAATTTTTATTCTATAAAATGTTTCTCATTCTGCTCCATTTTTTAATAAATTTAATTGATGTAAAGCTAATTTGGAATTATTGTCCGGAATAATCGTTCATTTCTTTCTCGACTAAAGTCAATTACAGATACTATAGGAAAATATTATGCTGTAGGGCGTTATGCGGAGCGTCCTTAACTAAGCGGTGCCATGCAGTCGTGCTAATAATTAATAAAAATAAAGAGTTGATAATCGCACAAATGAAAAAGTGAATGAGAGAGGTCAGAGCAAATGGTTATGCAAGTGCAACGCAGTTGCATTTAAAATGAAATACTTATAATGAATCTGTTATGAGATATATCTGCATTTTTAGCGCATTTATCTGTGCTGTACAACGGATTATCAACACTATTTGTATTGATTACATAGCTTATTGAATTGATAACTGAAGATATGTTGAGAAAATAATTTATCGTAGAAAAACTAGTTATTTTTTTATAATTATTCGTAATATATATATATATATATATATATATTATATATATATATATATATATATATATATATATAACATTTTCCAAAATATATGTCTACTTCAAGAACGAACGTAGCTTTTAAAAATAATCGAATATGTGTTTACATAAATTTTTTTTTATTGTTTCAAGTGTTAAATCAATTCTTGAAGTGGACTATTGTGGGATATCTTGTATATATATTCTGTTAAATAAATATTTTTATCATATACATAATGTAAAAAAGGGTAAAATTATACATATAGCCAAGAATGTGTATCATTCTCATGTCTATTAAAAATTGAATGAAAGAAAGGGAAATAAGTCCATTGATATAATCTTAATGAGGAGAAAGGATTAAGACCGTCACACAGATATCATATTTCCAAATATAAAATTTCCTAGGATGCAATGATCATGATGAAAGCATAGGCTTTTAAGGAAGCAATTCGCCAAGAGAAAACTCTCCAAAAGACGCATCTCACACTCTATATATCCTCATTTCCTTCCAGCTTTTAAAATTCAATTATATGATATTTAATTTCCGCCACATAATTTAATATATATAAATATAATGAATATATATAAATTAATATATAATTAATATATATATATATATATAATTTAATATATATAAATTTTTTTGTACATCAGAAAAAAAGAAGAAAAGCGTAAAGAATATAAAAGATCATTCAAATGTATCAAGTTTAGATTTGAGCAAAAACGCTCGGTCAAGCTATTCAAAGGCGATTCTTTAACAGCGATTAGCCCGAATAAATGACACCTTTCACGACAGACTGGAAAGAATGAAGAAAAGTGCGTAGACAGGCGAGACGGGGGAGCGGCATCGAGGTATCCTGGCGCGGTCAACCAGGGAATCTAAATTAGTACGTTACCCTGAGGCTGGATCTGCGTCTGTCGACGGTGCCGGTGTGATTCGCCGTCATGTGGAGGGCTGACAACGAGCTCTGATGGTGATGTAGATGTAGGGCCCTGCTCCCCCGACCAAGACTACCGCCCGTGCTCGCGGTGCTCATCGGACGGCCACCTCCGCCGGTGCTGTTCCTCGGGACCACCTCCAGCTGACTTCTACGCACACACGCACACCACCACTTTTCATGCACGCCTTCTTGCGCATACACACGCGTCCACGAACGTCTTCGACGCGCGTATACCTCGACCACGGACACACACACACGTGCGGCAACGTACTACAGCGAACCGCTCTCTGAATTTACTTATCTTATCCTTCTTGCGAATCGAATTCTCGAAGAGATTATATTTCTATTTTGTATTTTTTCGAAAGAGATATACAGGGTGGACCAATAACTCTGTCCACCTGGAATATCTCCGTTATTTTTAGAGATACAAAAATGTTGTACATATAAAAGTTGTACGGTACCAAGAGGGCCGTAATATGCTACTAATAATTTTTTTGTAGGTGGAGGCGCTTCAAAGATTTCAAGGTCTTCTCTATTTTTTTAAATGGAGCCCTCCATTTTTATTACTTATTCTTATATTCTTATAGCTTACCTCGAGAGCTTTCCAAAACACTAGAATAAAGTATTTCTTCATTGAGTACTTTTCGAGTTATGAGGCTTGAAATAATTTCTTAATTTTACATAAACCATAAAATATCTAGTAAAATATTCATTTTTTTATTATCTTACTTTAATACTTTTATATACAAAATAATGAGAGAAATCAATTGGTAAAGAAAAAATAGTTGTTTTTTTAAAAAAAATATGTAATTTGCAATTAACAATTTCATATTTTTTCTTAAAAACAACTGTATGTTTTCTTTACACCAATTGATTTCTCTCATTATTTTGTATATAAAAGTATTAAGGTAGGATAATCGGAAAATAAATATTTTACTAGATATTTTATGGTTTATGCAAAATTAAGAAATGATTTCAAGCCTCATAACTCGAAAAGTACTCAATGAAGAAATACTTTATTATAGTGTTTTGGAAAGCTCTCGAGATAAGCTATAAGAATAGATAATAAAAAGGGGGGGTTCCTTTTAAAAAAATGGAGATGATCTTGAAATCTCTGAAGCGCCTCCACTTACAAAAGAATTATTAGTAGCATATTACGATCCTCTTGGTACCGTATAACTTTTATAAGTACAAAATTTTTGTATCTCTAAAAATAACGGAGATATTCTAGGTGGACAGAATTATTGGTCCACCCTGTATACCTTTTCGATTCTTGAATATACTCGGTTGAGTCTTTTTTCTTGTGAGTTTTGTTAATTTCTCTGCGATCTCTCCGATAACCGAATCGATAGTGGCTCGCTGCAGGTATTTCCGATGATATAAAACGATAGAATCTATATATCTCATAATGAATATCTAGTTATACAACATAAATATACATACACAAGCATTTTGTGCACCACCGATATTAGAGTATAATGTTTACTAGGCTGCTAAATACGCCGAGGATGGTCTTGTCGAGACCGACCGGGACGCATTTCCAGCCGCGCTAACCAGTCAACGAGAGTAAACATCGAACAGTCAAAGATATATGTAAATATCAAAATTGGCAAAAATCAGAAAAAGATAAAAGGAATCATATAATGCAACTGGTGGTGTGATTCCTGGCCAGAGAAACATTCGAGGAACCGTTCGCATTACATGGCAAGGGAAAACGAAACAATTCTTACATATTATCAATAATTGACAAGGGGTAAGGGATGCGGACAATCATAGTAATAGATATTTAGCCAGGAAAGTGTGTAATGAAGATTTCTTTAACAATAAAAAACGCTTTCTACGTATCTTTCAGAGGATTTAGAAGGAGGTGCATTGATGTCTGACCAAGGATTACACCACGTTCACTAAGATTAACGTGTGCTATACATAGCGCAGTGCAGTGCAGGCGGCAGCTGTGGGCTACGGCTCAGCTATGAGAAACATTACCGGTGGATCCGCGACCGAGTGCGACTTGCAGACCCAGCGAATCGTGCGTTGCTCCGGGTAACTCCAACAAGAGTACCAACTGGCACGTTTCCACTGGGTGGTTTCATAATCGCGCATGTTTGTATATGTACATTATATGTCGACTGTATACTGTATACTGTATTTACGTGTGTGTATGCCCGATAATATCCAGGTATGGCGTGTGTATTAAGACTACGAGTGATTTTTTTTCGGCGCTCTCGCAATCAAGAGATCATCGAGCGAGCGAGCAAGCGCGCGCGCTCATGGTTCTATTTATACTTCGATATGTCAAGGGAGTTCATATTTCAGCTCAATTTTAATTACTCGTATGTATTTCAGTTAATGGAGATCGTTGAAGCGCAATTCTCGAAGCGCCGCTCGACATCCACTTAAGAGGATCCTTCAAGTGTACTTTTTTACCGACGAAAACACCGTAATTTTCGGAAGTATGCCATTTTTTATTGCCTATATAGAATTAAAAATCCTTCTCCAGTTGAAGTATACACGCAAACGGACACGTGAAAACTCTATACAGTATAAGATATTAAGAAAGAAAATAAGTATAAAATTATATTTTTATTTATCGACTTCTTAAATCAACATGGCGTCATAGCTGTCAACTTGTACAAATATTACAAATATTATTCTTATAACATTCTTATAGCTTTTATGCATAAAACAGTAGCTTCCATGATTGTGTATTGCACTGTAAAACATTGTCAAACTATAAAAACTGAATTTAATTGCCTAATTAATAAATGGCATTCTTCCGAAAATTTCAATCCGTATGTACCTAAAATATCGGTAAAGTAGAGTGGAAAAAGCAATACATCTTCTTTATAAATAATGTGATAGAGAGAGATACGGGATGAGGACGCTGTAATAGTGTAAGAGTACACCGTTCAATGAGGGATCCCCTTAACACGAACGAGAATTTCTATTGTGGAAGTTGACATAAATACTCTCGTAGTGCGATTCATTAGCCACGTTCAAACAAAAAAGTGACATAAAATTCAGATGAAAATTGCACTCCCTCTTCGTATCCTTCATTTCCGAACCGATTCTCGAGATATTTACAACTTTCACCTCGACATTTTCTAGCATTATGTTAAATTAGTTCCGTTGATTACGAAAACCTTCTGCGGAAGTTCACGAATACGCGTCTTTCTTACACGGTAACTTTAACTTTACTCGTAGAAATTCTGGAAAAAGTAGCTGCCTATCGATTACCGGCGACTATACAGTAACAACTCTTTCTCTCCGCTATTTTACGACGCGGGTATCGATCGTTCGCGGTGAAGAGGTGAGGATTCCGCGTCGGTTCGTTCGGCAATTTTTCGGCACGGCGATTAAGCACGAGAGTTTCTCGAGAATATTTCAGAGAGAGAGGAAAAAAGAGAAAACACTATCGACTATTTTATCCGCGCGCACGAAGCACTCTTGTAAATAAATAAATAATTGACGATGCTCTAGCAAAAGTCTCCGCTGTCTCGATCGCTGTAAAGACCGAAGGCCGGTGATCAAGTATTTACGGTCCGCGACGTAATTCGACGATTTAACTTTGATCATCATACGTAGACTTGGACGCAGAGTCCGGCGTGACGTGTCGTTCGTTGCTTTATAACTTGCACCTGCTATTTCCGTTTGGAGAATACGATTCGACTTCGTTCGACATATGGCACGAGTCGATCGAGAGATGAGGAATAAAGTGACACGTGGTCCTTATTCCTCCCCGTCACGTTCCCGTCTTGAGAAACAATCTCGGAAGAGCGCCTTTATGCGACGAACGTAAAAAAAGTTCAATTCCATATTATTGTCCTTTATCTAGCTGTCGAAATTTCCCATGTTTGATCAAAGGATCTTCTTCTTATCTTTCTTTTAACTTAATGTGCGATTAGCTAGAAGGCAGTGGTATTTTTATCGAGGGATTTTTCACAAGAAATTTTAGCAATAAGTGATGTGTCTAGTGATATACTGGCCCGATAAGTATTTTTATTTTAAAAAAACGAGGGACATTTCCCTCTCGTTTTCCATAGTCTTAAAAGGTATGCTCGTTTTATTGCGTGACTTGACATAAGTTGTTTAGAGAGAGCGCGTATCTGATCCTTTTTTGATACATAAAACGCGGTGAAAGATTCAAGGCATATTTGAGTGACTTCGAGAGAATCTGAAGACTAACATCGAATTTACAAGTCGCTCTAAGGAGATTCTTTCTCGAGACGTGGAACGCTCAATGTGGATTAGTGTTTCGAGAAGACGTCGGTCTCGTTGATGACGAGAATAGCAACGTCATGTCGATTAGTGAGCGTTGTCCAGTGTTGCCTCTGGATGACAGTAGACTGAGTACCTTGCTGGCAGAACGAGCGCTTCCAATTCGGCGGTTAGATGCCGTCTAATCATGTGTTTGGCCGGCGGTATACCCAACGCGGTAGCCATGGTGTCACCGGTGAACGATGGCTCCAATACAACCAGAGCACCATGTACACCCGAGTCTGCAGAGAAAATTTCGATTTCGATAGTTCATGGAAGTTTTATCGGAGTTAAAGTGAAAGTGCTCTCCTTTATTCGCACAAATTTTTATTTTTAAAATACAGAGTGTCCCAGTTATCTTCCGTCATCTTTCAAAGACAGATTCCTGGGATCATTTGAAGACGATTTTTCCTCAGCGAAAATATCAATGAAGGCCATCATTTTTTGCATGTTCCCGATTTTTGTCATCATATATCTTTGCAATTAAGTCTTAAATTAAAACTCAACTAAAGTAAACTCTATTTAAAATTAATCAAATAATGTGGTTTTGTTAATATTTTATTTCTACAAAGCTTAGTTTACGAAAAACTCCTTATTTCCAATCACTTATAATTCGAAAATTATTAGTGCCTCGATATTTTCATTGAGGAAAAATCGTCTTCAGATGATCCCAGGAATCTATCTTTGAAAGGTGACGGAAGATAACACCCTGTATATGTATATGTCGCTCAATAATCATTACGATAAAATTTGAAAAATCATATAAAAGTAAAACTTTTTTCATGATATAAAAAAAATTATGATTTACGCTATAAGCTTAAACAATTTTTAATGATAGATTAGAATCGCTTGTCGCGCGAAATTCACCTTTCAGATTCTCGGCGTATTCCGTAAGATCGATATTCCTCGCCCACCGAATGAACCTTTGATTCGTCCAGACCAAAGGATCCGTGTCAACCTGCTCGCATTGATGTCTCCTGACAGCGAGTGCCTGAACATCACAGAAGCATCACGTCATCTCTTTAAGAGTATTACTAGTGCAATTAATCGTTCGATTAACTTTCGCAAATACTGATTTCAAAGCGATGGATCGTCTGTGGTTTAATGAGATCGTGTAATGCTCGCTCACCTGTCGATCGTAATTCAGCATCCGCAGCAGATGAATACCGTGAACGATGCTCGCCTGATGAAACTTTCTCGTGACCCCGAGCAGCTTCTCGAGCTCCTTCTTGCTGAGATGATCCAGCATTCGCGCATCCACCATGTTGGTGGCGAAACTCTCCGAGTACTGGCCCAGACCGAGATCCGGTAGCCATTCGGAACTGACCCAAGTATGACCGAGCTGCGCGATGCAAGGATACCGAACGTGACTTGGATGCCGATGTTCCTCGATGGCCAGACGTAGCTTCTTTCGATGAAGCGGATGCGTCACGCCTAAACCGGCCTCCAATTCGGCATCGCTTAGCTCAAGTAGGACCTGCAAGTAGCGGTCGACGAATGTCTCGAAAACACGGTTGCAGTTGAGATGGAAACATTTTGAAGAAGATCTTTGCATACGAAAGATATATGTCTAACGCGCGATTGAGATTAATCGCGAGTGAACTCGAATGATTCTAGGGGACTCCGCCCTCGTATCAACAGGTTGAACAACTTTAAAGCACGCTGGTGGAACAGAACAAATCGACGAGTCCTTTACCTTGCCTGACTTGACATTCTCGGCGCATCGTGGACCGTATTGCGGCATCCCGAGAGCCACCTCTAACCAGGCTAAAACGGTCGGGGCTCGCCATCGTTCCATAGGCACGGAGGCTGCTTCGCGAAGCAAACGAAGTTTTTCGGCGTAACCCTCTTCGGTGAGCGGCGACCACGATCGATACGGATCAAAGCCATCCGCAGCCTCGTTGCTGCCGCTTCCAGCGTTGGTGCTGTTTGCCGTCTTCCGATGTCGCGAACGAGCGAACACTCTGTAAAAAAAAAATATCGATCCACACACACATGTCGTGATTAGGGTTGCACAAGACCCAAGACAAGACAATATTCATAAAAATATTGTATTGGTATTGAAAATTTTCAAAAATTTAAATCTTGTCTTAGTTTTGAGTGAATATTGGTAGCAAAAATAGTTTTGTATTGTCTTGTCTCGATTTTATTAACAATTTTTTATCTAATATTAAAAAATTATTTAAATAATATTTAACATAATTTTTGTAATATAATTTGAAATAATTCTTACTATTGTATTATATTTTAATTATAATTATTATTATGTAATCGATATAAATGCCGTTTATTTACATAAAAAACATTTACTGTTTCATGGAAAACAGAAATTAATAACTATTTATAGGCTCCAAGGGAATGTACAGATATAAATATTTGGAGTGATAAAAAAATCAGGTTCATATTTATCCCACATTGTCAATGACTCGAGACATTTTAAGTCAACCGCCTCGTTCGTGCCAGTAGAAAGACTTTTCTCAATAGAAACTCTGAGATTATGTCAAAAAATAGAATCAGATTACAAAGTAAATCTTTAAAAGCATTAATGTGCATCAATTACTGATGAAATGCTCTTTAATGTTTAAAATTTGCAAGTTTGATTTTTAGTTTATAAAAATGTTATATTGTATTAATATTAAATGTTTTTAAATTGATTAATATAAATGTTTTTATTAAATAAAATTTTTTTAAATTCGTATATAGTGATTTTTTTCATTTACAAATATAAATATTTTAGTTTTTTTGAGAACCAATAATCTTGACAAGGCTAATAATCTTGACAGTCTTAGTCTTGGTATTGTCTTGATAACTAATTAAAAATCTTGTCTTGATCTTGTCTTGAAATTCAAGACAAGACAAGACAATATCAAGACTAATCTTGGTATCCCATGCAACCCTAGTCGTGATACTCGAATGGAATACTTTTCTTTTGTGTACTTTGATAATATCCATTACAAAACACAAATTTTTCTGTCTCTTCCAATATTTGTGATCTCGTTTCGCGAGGTTTTCATTTCGAGATATTACATTACTAATCAAGTGAATCCAATTTAGAATAAATAGATACTTTTGTAAAAATTTTGATCGATTTCAAATTTTATTAAAAATAGAGTTTCTCTCGATGAAGATAAATTTAATGTCGGTCCCGCCAATTCGGCGGAATAATAGAAACTTCAGAGATTTCTATATTGAAACGGTACCCTGTTTCATAACTAAAGAGCTAATCCATCATTTAAAGTACAATAAAATCACCTCGCGAACCTGCCATGGGGATGAAAGCCTCACCGATATATAATATCGGCTGTAGTATCTAGATGTGAAAAATCAATACGTTTCCCCTATATCCAAAGAGTCGTCTCGTTTCAAAGGATTCTGCTATTTTTGCACCAACAGTCTTTGTTATTTCTGCACGTCGCAAATCTACATCGATCTTTCTCTAACCTCGTTGTAAAGAGTTGCAGTTTCCCTTTTACCGTGTTCACCAACTCATTTCACCCGTATGTAACACATTGTTGGGGAACTGACTGAGGGACTCGCGCGGTAGGTAATCGCACGCTCTGTTGAAATTACGTTCTACGAGTTGTCAAAGTGCAAAAACTATCGAGCAGCGCGGCAGCTGTTATGCGCGTTTGCGAAAATCAATGAACTTGTGTCGTACGCATTTGAAAAACCAGTCATCGTCCCTCGTGTGCGTTTAATTCCGTGGTGCGATTTAGTCGATCGGAAATCTTTCGTTTTTTTTTCGTAGAGTTATTTATCGAGCGACCGCTCATTTTGTGTCATGCGTCAATTATTCGCCGCGATAAAACAGTTTAATTCGCATTTACATATAAAATTTACATATAAAATGCATCACTTATCGCTCAGTCATCGTTCGCATTTCCCCGATAATCGCGATTAAATGTTTGCGTAATGAGCTAAATAATCGATGTATCGCTCAATTAATATATAATTAGTATTGATATATTATATTAGGTATATATATATTAGGTATACAAAAAAAACTATTTTTTTTTCATTTTGATCTTGAAGATGACTTTGTCGCCAATTTTTATTGCCATATTCCTAATCAGCGCATCGAAATACAATAGTATGTAAAATTTCAGAACAATCGGAGATATGCACTTTTTGGAATTGCACTCTTCATATATTTATATATTTATATCAATATATTTTTTATATCAATATACAGGGTAGCCTCGAACGTTCCAGACTTTGAGATCTTATAGGAAATTTAATTTTGAACAAAAAATTTCCTATAAACATGGGTCGAAAAATGTTTCCTTAAGAAGTTATCGCTCCGATGAAGGAAGAGCAAAAGATGAAAAGAAAATGAAGTAAAAAGAAAATGAAACTAAATAAATTTCTTGAAAAACTTTACTCTTTACTCATTTTTTACCTTACTCTTTTCCTTACTCTTTATTCATTTTCTACTATTACATACTATTACTAAAATATTAGTTAAAAAAAAATTATTTTATTTTCATAAAAGAAAAAGATTTTTATTTTTTATTTTTATCGTTTTTTCAAGAAATTTATTTAGTTTCATTTTCTTTTTATTTCATTTTCTTTTCACCTTTTGTTCTTCCATCATCAGAGGTTTTTGAACGATAACTTCTTAAGGAAGCATTTTTCGACTCATGTTTATAGGAAATTTTTTGTTCAGAATTAAATTTCCTATAAGATCTCAAAGTCTGGCTGGAACGTTCGGGACCACCCTGTATGTACACAAACATATTTTTTCGAAATTAAATTTACATCATTTTCGAACGATTTTCGCCTTAGAAAAATCCCTAAACGTACATAACGGAGCGACTTCCTTACCTTGAAATGGATCCCCATGTGCCGCCGCGAGTGGCGGACGATCGCGAATGCGCGGCAGGTGCGACGACAGGGGGCGGCTGCTTGTTCCTCCTCGGCTCGGATTCCAGCGGGCTGGATAGCTGCTCGACCGATCGCGATAGCGAAGAATTATCTATGGACCTTGAGAATGCGTTTAGCGGTGACAACGTGGGGCTGCAGTCCTTTGGCGTGGTCGCGGCTGAAAACACGAGATCCGATTGAGCGCCGTATGACTTTTCTCTCGGAACGAAGACAGAAAGTAAACAGATAGAGAGATGGAATGTAACGAGAGATATGCGAAGGATGTAAATGCGAAAGCCCCACTCATATTAGTAAATGGAATCGTCAATGAATGATATATGCTACGCGAAAGTTACTTAATTATGCTACGTCACGTAGAGGGAAAATTAATATTCAATAGAAGGTATTAAAAGAGATGCACATATGACAGAGAGACAACAAATTAATTGGCGTTAGTGTCACTAAAAGGATGTTGTTAATCTAAGGACCATCAATTACTTATTATCATTTAGTCTATTTAAACATGTCGCGATTTCTTTTATACTGAAAATCGTTTCGGCAAAGTTCTTGTACTTGTCGAGCCATTATTCTGTTTAATGACATAGCGAAGGGTAATCGATGCAAGTCACATAAAGAACACACAGCGCGTCGTGCAGCGATCCGAGTTCGAGTGCAAAAAAGGTCCTTCTCGTGGGCATAACTCGTTCTTGTCATCTGTCAGATTTGCGGTACGTGCATGCGCATGCATTCGAGCCATGTAGAGCAGGCAGGGTTTATGTATCGAGGACACATCCTCGGGGACCCTCTCGGCACCGGTTCAGGCTTCCTTACGCATCGAAAAGAAACGATGATTTATTCGCCGAGTGTCCTCGATCCCTTTCGAAATCACCGTTCATCGTATTTAAGGCGCACGCTCGCGCACACATAACACACACACACACACACACACCACACACACACACACACACACACACACACACCGAGAGATAAATGACTACAGGGTGACCGGAATTCGATAGCGATCGATTTTTCGCATCGTCGTGATTTTCGAAGAATTTTATGGGAGAGAGAAGTGTCGACGCTGATCCTCAACGATGGAAATGTTTTGTACAATTATTTTGTACAATTAATGCGTCAAATAATTATCACGATTAATAATTAATCCTGCGCGGTCGATCGATAACGACTGAACCGGCCACCCTGTGATCGTTGGTGAAAACGAGGGATATCGGAGGAAAAGAGAAAAAAGACGCACATAGAAAAGCAGCACAGGCGTCGATGAGGAGGACACGACGAGATGGAAGGTGGGGGGGAGAGCGCGAAAAAGAGAATGACAGGGGTAACGTGACGACGACGACGACGACGACGATGATGACGACGACAACAACGACGACGACGACGACGACGACGACGATCAGTGATTTATGCTCTTGGACACTTACATTGGTATATATGGGATGGTGCTACGGAGGATACCACGGAGATGCTGTCCATGTCGAGACCGCTGCCCTCGACCGTAATTGTCGGCGTGCCTGCGCGGAAATATATAAAGGACATCAATTCCGAGCGATGGGAGGAAGAGTGCGGGGAGGTGTCGATGGGGCCCCATCGGAGGCCTTTGCGTCTCGGGGCTGTCAAGAACGAGCTTTCCTCGAGGTCTCGCTCGCTAATAGACGAGCTTGTGTTCTTTATGTCGCGCGTCGTCCTTATTACGAGGATAATGCGAGATCACCACTGATAGTGAACACGCCGCGGACACGTTGAAAAGTGCAAAGTAACTTGACGCCCCTGACTTTTCGTCGCGAGATGACGGATGCGGTCATTAGCGAAAATTTCTATTCGGTTAATAGGCAAAGTTTTAATTGATAATTTCGCGCGCGCATACGGAATAATGTTTAATTGGCTAATTAACTTTTAATTTCTCGGTATATTATTAGCCGCGTGAAAAATTCGAGAGAGAAGCTCTCTCTCACTGTTGTAAAATTAAAAAATTTTTCTATTTCCCTCTTTTGATGAACTATTATGTTATTGGTTTATAATTTTAGCGATAGAGAGATTATGTATTTAAAATCATATCAAATTAAATTAAATTGATAAATAATTGTGTAATAGAAACTTATTTATATGACAATACATCATCAATCTCCTTGTTATTCTCAAGCGTACTCTCCTTTTATAAAAAAACGTTGAAAAATAAAGCAATAGAGCAATATCCTGAGCAAATATTTAACTCGATAACGTAACATGATAAGATTCTAGATAATCCTGAAACTTGAGTGCTCCTCGATGCACGTTCGAAGTACATCCTTTCGTGATTTCGCGAAAATCATCCCCGCGCGCTCTTTAGCGACCGCGAATGTTTGCCGGGAAACCCAATCGATCAAACCGTTTTGATGCAACGGCACGGCGATTGGTTGAATAATACATGAAGGAAGCGTGCTCGATTAGACTGCCACCACCTATGTTCGATTAACATTCGCGGCTGATGGACGTTGGACTATTTTTCAAGTCGGTACTTAGCCGGATGTGCACTGCAAGCCCCTCTAACTAGACGATTAATCTCGGAGCTCGTTGCACCTAAACGCCAGGGTCATTATCTCTTAAGCGCATGTCACTACGATTGTGATTAATAGTAACGGTAGAGATAACATACTTCTTCGAATCTCTTTCTTCTCGCGTCTTTAAGCTTTCTATTGAGAGATCAGTAACTACACGTTCGTATTTTTTGATATTATAAAACTCTACAAGAGTGTTATGTATTATTTACTTCAATTAAAACTAGACTGAAATTGAATATTAACATGTAGATACGAGGGTGGTTTGAAAAGTCCGTGCAAAGTCAGAGAGATGGCACCAGTGATGTGTTCAATCGAGGTTATTTTCAGTTAGTAGCATCTCTTGGAAAAACACACATCAAATTTCAGCCAGATCGGTCTATTTCTCTGTGTTTGGCGTTCGTTTGAATCGAGGAAATCGAGTGATTTCCAAAAAATGGATGAAAGAGAATTTGTGTTGATCAAACATTACTTTATGAAAGGCAAATTGTCTCAGAAGATTACAGAAAAGCTTGATAAACATTATGGTGAATCTGCACTTTCCATTAGAACAGTTTATAAGTAGTTTCAAAATTTTCGGAGTGGCCATATGAACACTGCTGAACGTTCTGGACGCCTTGTCTTTTGGGATTCGCAAGGAATAACCCTCATCGACTATATAGAAAAGGGTACAACTATTACAGACTATTATTCATCGTTATTAGACCGTTTGAAAACCGAGCTGCAAGAAAAACGTCTATGATTGGTAATTGCACAAAATTGGCACAAAAAAGTCCTTTTTCATCACGACAACGCACTAACTCACTTCTCTAGAGTTATAGCCGCAAAATTAATGGAGTTAAGGTTCCAATCCTATTCTTCAGATTCCCTTGGACTACTTGTTTCCAAATATGAAGAAATGACTAGCGGGAAGGAGATTTTATTCATACGAGAAAATGATTGCGGAAACGAATGCCTATTTTGTAGAGTTCGATCAATCTTATTATTCAGAAGGTATCAACAAACTGGAGCAGCGTTGAACGAAGTGTGTAAGTCTAAAATGAGATTACGCTGAAAAATAAGAAAGGTTTATCTCGAAAAATTAAGTAGTTTTCATTTTTGCACGGACTTTTCGAATCACTCTCGTACATATAAAAAAGCTCATTCTTATTAAAAATATTAGAGAAAGAAATCTTTCGAATAGATTCACGAAAAGATACGTTGATATAATGTTATTGTATTGATATAACACGCACACAGCAGCTTGAGGAAATTTTAATCAGAAAAGGAGATTTCTATGAAAAAATTATGGTCAAGGCACTCATTTCATGTAATCGCTGCAATGTAAACGTAAATAGATAAAAAACCTAATGCACTTATTATTAAAAATGAAATCTCTCTCTTTCTTCCCCGAACATGTTTATGAAAAGACTAAAGCTAATGCGCAGCTTCTACTTAAAAAAATTGTAATCATAAAAAGAGATTTTAATTAAAAAAAAATTAATTAAGGCGACTCATTTCATATCATCGCCGCAAAGGAAAAGGGCAATTCCGCGCTCGAACGTGGACGCTCATCGCGCAAACAATTTACGAGGAGACATGTAGTTGATTCATTTAAAAATTTTCCGCTTTCTTGCACATTCCTCCTCCCTTTCCCCCTTAATATCCAAGTATATCCTGCACTTTGTCTCGCGCGATAGATTAAGAGGAAGAGAGACCAAAGCAGTGCCGAAACGTCGTCGAAACTCACCGTCTGTCGTCGAGTCCGACAGATTCCCGCCGACGCTGGTCGCGCCGCCGCTTTCACGATCGCTGGATCCACGAACCCCGCTGTCGGCGCTGCAGCTGCCGCGATCGCCGGCCTGGCCGCCGGAAGATCCCCCCGCACCCGCGCCGCCGCCCGCGTTACCCACGGACATACCGAGTTCGGTGATGCCCAACGGCGGCTGCGAATTCACGTGGGGGATAATGCCGCAACCTCCGCCACCGCCACCGCCGCCACCGCCGCCGCCTCCGCCTCCACCGCTGCTACTCCCGGCGCCGGGAGTCGCGGCGCCGTTCACGCTGCCACGTGGAAACGACACCAGAGACTCCTGATCGCTCAGACAGATCCCGCCGCCGCCGCCGCGTTCCGCCAGCTGACGTTGCAACTGCAATATTCATGCGGAAGTGCAATTTCGAAATGTGAATCATTACGAGACATGGGCTAGGTATAAATAATATGAATATATTAGGTGTGTGAATTAATTCAGTCCGTTTTTTTCTTCCAAAAAAAGACTTTAGTGTGAAAAAACATGAAAAAGTACACTAATCAAAGTATTTGCCATCATTTGCTATTATTTTATCCCATCTGTATGGTAGTTGTTGTATTCTGTGATGGAAAAACGACTCGTCCTTTGAAGCGATCCTTTCATTGAGCCATTTCTCTATTTCTTTATAATTGTTGAAGTGCTGATCCGAAAGCCCGTGTGCCATCGATCTGAACAAGTGATAATCGGATGGAGCAATGTCTGGTGAATACGGCGGATAAGGTAAAACGTCCCAGCCAAGTGCTTCCAAGGTGATCTTCACAATCTTTCCAACATGTGGCCGAGCATTATCGTGCTGGAAGATCACTTTGTCGTGTCTCTTTGCATATTTCGCTTATTCTTCAATGCGTTGTTTAAACGGATCAATTGTTGTTGGTAAAGTTCGGCAGTGATGGCTTGACTCTGTTTTAATAGCTCATGATGCACTACACCCTTCTGGTCCCACCATATATAGAGCATTACTTTCTTGCCGTGAATATTCCGCTTTGGTGTCGATGTGGATGGTTTTCCTGAGTCGCAAATGGATTTCCTTCGTTTGGGATTATCGAAATATATCCACTTTTCGTCTCCAGTCACAATACGATGCAAAAAAACCTTTTCTTTTTTGCCTGGCAAACAAGATTTCAGACATGGTTTTTCGCCTCTCGATGTCTCTTTCTTTCAGTTCGTATGGCACCCATCTTCCTTCTTTAAATCTTTCCCATGGCTGCCACAAATGCACAGAAATTGTTGATCGATCAACATTCAACAATTGTGCGAGCTCATGTTGCGATTGACATGAATCTTCATCGATTAGCGCCTGCAATTCCTCATCCTCGAACTTCTTCGGCTGACCTGGACGAGATTTATCATCGACACTGAAATCATTACTTTTGAAACGTCGAAACCATTCTCTGCATGATTTATTGGTGGGAGCACTTTCACCATAAGCTTCTACGAACATTCGATGATCTTCAGCGGCTGATTTCTTCAAATGAAAACAGAAAATGAAAACTTTCCAGAAATGATGTTTTTTGGGCTCGAATTTCGATATTTTCGAATCAGATAAACACGATGTAATTGTTATAAACTCAAACGTTTATCAACTGAATATTATTGCCAGATGTCAATACTAAACCATAAAGCCTTTTGCAGACATTAGAGGTTAGAAAATTACATAGTACAGCAATTGACCGCCAGATGGATCGAATTAATTCACACACCTAATACCTCCCTTCTCGCTAGAGAGAAACGGAATTTTTATGTTTTATTTGTTTCGTCGAGTATTGAGTGATCGCTTGTTAAGTTACATGTGAAGAATGTTTAATTACGTTTTTAATTAATTTTGTTATATATTGTAATTTTTTTTCTCTTTCTTCTACGGCCATCGAGCTCTTCCGAGCCGAATCAATGTTAGACTCGTCGATCCAGAATTATACGTTCGACTCACCTCTTTTATGGTCGCGTGTGCGTGCGAGAGGGCGGCCTCTTTGTCGGCTAAACTAGCCGCGAGGCTCAGGCTTCGATCGGCCTCGTCCCTCGCCGCCCTTAAGAGACTCCAGCGTTCCCTCTCCCTCTCCCGTTCGCGTTCCTCCGACGGCATGCTGGCTCCTTGCTGCTGAAGACGTCCCAGGGTCGCCTCGTTCTCCCGCATCCGCTGCAATCAACGATCAAAGGGACCATGTCCAGGCAGTAACTCCGCCCACAAAACCTTCACCATCTACCGTGGCATGCGCGTGTTCCGAAAATCGCAAGGAGCACAGCGATCAAGTGGCAAACTGCTCGTTTCGATCCTCGTAGCATTCCCTTCTCTTTACGATACACGTCGGAGATTTATTAATCTCGCTCCGGAAAAAAAATATCTATGTATTCGCTATTGAAAAATAATTGTATTTTAATACACGATCAGTATATTTCAGTGTTTAACAATGTTAATTTCGACACTGCAAAATCAACATTGTAAAGCATTTGCGGAGTGAATTAATAATTAATTACGGGCTTGATGTGGGGATATAATGATCGGTATTTATGACGAAATAACTTGAGCCGCGCACACCGACAGGCCGATGATTTCGTCGAAATAGCAGGCAAACTAATAACGGCGATGAGGGTAAATAGCCGTTGGAAATCAAACTGAATTCGGGGATAAACATCCGGCTAAAATTTCATGAAATTCAGTCAACGTGTTTCGCTTTCGCGAAACGTGTTTCGAGCAGTCATTCTATTGCTTATCTCAAGCGTGTCGCCCCGAGTGAAGAACAGACGAGACGACAGAAGAGATTCGAATGTTCGATACACACGTAACATAGACAGATTGACGTTCATTGCTGATAAGTCCCGCGTTGCAAGCATAATTAATGCTTGAGTATAACTGGTTGTAGCACGCGATTAAGTGGAACAATCAAGGATGAACGCGGCGCAAATTACTTTCATCCAATGATTAAGTATTTCTTAAACATTTCTTCTACAAAACTGGACCTGGACAAGGAAATTACTTTAATTGACTTTCTGTCATAGACATTACGAGATTTGATCAAAAAGTTCTCGGAATTTTTTAATTTCGTACGCTATACGCATACACATATTAATATAGACTGCTTCTAGAGTAATGGGAGAGGTCTTCCTGAGAGAAAAGGATAATATGAATTTATTTGTGTTTCTGTCACACGCATGTCTGTTATTAAAGTCAATAACTTGAAATTGTATCATGTGCGTATCAGAAAAAGACAGATACACAAATTAATTTATGCTTCTTTTCTCTCAGAAGGACACCCTCACTTAGGTTTCACTTATAAATAGTCTATGTGTTAATATGTCTATGGTTATACGTAACTGTTTGCACTCATCTTTTTTTCTAGTGTTAGTGTGTGTGTTCGTAATATTCATATGTATCAAGTTTCAATACATATGTATCAAGTTTCATATTAAATACGTAGTTTGTTTTTTGACAGGCAAATAAGTAAGATGCATTTTAATGCTCGATTTTTTAATTTTGAAAATGATGGAACAAAGAATTTGCATTAAATTTTGCGATAAAAATAAAATAAAGTGCAGTGATGTGATGAAAATGTTGGAGAAGGCTTTTGGCGAGTCTGTTATGAAAAAGTGTTTATGAGTGATACAAAAAGATTTCGAAGAGGGCTGTGAAGACGTTGAAGATGACGAGAGAGTTGGACTGCCTGGCACATCAACTATCAAAAACATGGAGGAAATTAAGAAAATCGTTCTTGATAATTGCCGAATCATTATTAGGGAGGTTGCTGAACAAGTTTTACGCCGTTTGTGTGAAGCAATCCGTAAAAAGCGATCAGAATTTTGAAAAAACAACTCGTGGAAATTACATCACGACAATGCACCAGCTCACACTTCTGCTCGTGAATTTTTGGCAAAAAACAACACTGTAGTGATGCCTTAGCTATCGTATTCGCCAGATATAGCCTTCTGTGACTTTTCTCTATTCCCAAAGATGAAGAAAACCATGAAAGAACAACATTTTGCGATCATAGAGGAGATAAAGGCAAAATCGCTGAACGAGCTGAAGACTATATAAAAAAACGCGTTTCAGAAGTGTTTTGAGGATTGGAAAAACGCTGACATAAGTATGTTATATCCGATGGAACCTACTTCGAAGGGGACCATATAAATATGATGAATAAATATTTTTTGAAATAAAAATTTCGAGAACTTTTTGATAAAACCTCTGAGTATACTGAGACTGAAGCTAATGATACCTTCCTGCATTGAAAATACAAATGTATATACTCTACTTCTTCATGTCGCGTGAAATTTTCAAGTAAAATTCTACGGTCAAAGTTCGATTAAACGATACAATCACGACGAGAACACAGATGTGTTTTCCGCGATTAGGAAGGTAACTCGATTATATTTTAGCGAATAGACGTGACGTTTAGCATCGACCATTAGCCACTCCATCGACGATATCGACTCTACGGCAAAGTTAATCCACTTATCTCTCCCTCGAGCGTAAGTAACTCTGTCGTATGTATAACAGGTGTTGCAGCAAGGTTTATCGGCTAAACTTTGCGGCAACACGGTTATTACAGGCGGTGCAGATCACTCGGGCGTCGGTTGTTAGCACGTCGTAGCTTCGGCCTCAAAAACTATTGCATCATATCGCCTGGAGGAGGCACAAAGTTTGTTATAATTGCGACGCTAAAGGACGTCATTTACGCGAAAGACACTCCGGGAAAAGTTTCCCCGAGATTTTGCTCTTTCGCATCGTACTAATTCATCTTGCTTATGATAGATTTATCTTATCTTATCTTATTGCACACAGATAAAGCGTATCTGCTAATTAATTATTTCAAAGACTAATAAACTTTGTAAACTTTATAAGAATCGTAAGGGAAATTTGAGGGAACTTTTTTTACCATCTTATACGCCTGCAGAGTTCTTTCCTATTAAAATTTTTCAGCGCGTGTTCATAAACATTCATAAAGCTCTCGAGCATATTAAATTCCTTGAAAGCGGACTACTGTATATAAATGCGCGGATAATGTCTGCAATTTTCCATGGCAGAGCGATGCGAGAGAAAAACCTAAGTAGTTTGGAAGCTTCAGCGCAGCGAACAAGTAATTCCATCAGCGTTTCATAAATGCATCGTCGGGGTATGACATTGGATGATAAACAGGAAGGACCGGAAAACACGTCAAGGCTCGTGAAACCGAACAAAGGCGAGCAGATTGAAGGAGATTGCACGCGAAAAGGCAGGTTTGTTCACGCACATCGACTAGAGAATTTCTGTATTGAATGATACGCGTCAAATTTAGGACATAACATGGAATGTAATATAAATCGCAAAAAGGGTAGTTTATTAAAAGACAAAAATAAATATTATATGTATTCTTTCGCGGAACAAAAACTTGAAGAAAATTGAATTACAGAGCTAGATAAAATAAGTTGGAAGAGCTTGTCAGTTATTTCAGAAATCATCATAAGCAATTGCGAAGATATTATGTTACCTTGAGAAATTAAATGCCGGAAAAATGCTTCTCCTGCTCGGAAATACAGTCGCCTCGCAGAGAAAATTGAGAACAACGAATAGAAAATCACAAGACGCGCCTGTGTAACCAGGTATAATAATACGTCGACACTTGTGAGAGAGACGAAGTAGATTACGCGAGAGGAGAGAAAGAACACGAGTGTAAATGAAGAAGGAAGGGAAATAAAAAAAATTGACGACGTATTTTATAGAGGGAAAACTGTCGTAAAACCGAGGACGACGCGTGCATTTTTTTTCGGTATGGCAGAAGCAACATAAGAAACTTGTGCGTGCACCGTCGCCTGTCGGTGACGTTTAGTCTGATATTTTCATCAGGAATCTCCCTCTAAGTCATTTTGTTGGAGAAATAAGTAGTAGCGAAATTTCAACTTTCGTGACATCAAGCTGTCAAATGGAAAAGCCTGTCCTAATTTTGATAAATATTTGCTATGTGTGATAAATATATACAGTGTTTTCAACGAAAATAATTCATTATGACGATATATTATGTATGAAATAGTTTTTTTTCTTTTAAATTTTTATTAAGAAATATATATTTATGTAAAATTTTTTTATTAAACATTTCATGTAATTTTCTGTGTACTGGTAAGAGTGGGTTCCTCTCATGTCTTAATAATTTTTCCTATAATAACATCGTGCTTTTTTGCTCGTTGCAGAATTTCAACATCAAACTTCCATTTCGCCGCATTGTATTTTTAATATAAAAAGCCTTTTTAATATACTAAGCTTTTTAATATACTCTGTCACAAAAGTGTAGAATCTTAGAAATTAATTGCGGATTCCTTCGATGTCTCATGCGTATGGAATAATATTATTAATAATATTTTATTAAAACGTCAATATTACATTACCAGCTAGCATTACGATTTTTTTTTATCTTCACGCAGCAATCATCCGGAGAATAATACAATAAATATTAATTATTACTAACATTTTATGTGCACGAAATTATGTTATTTCATAAATAATATCATCAAAAAGACATTTGAGAAAAATTATTGTTGTTATTATAAATTTGCAATCGAGTGAAGAGAGAAAGGGGTAGAAAAAGATTGCTTACTCTTTCATCTTATTATACTTTCTAATCAATTTTTAAACATCATATATTATTAATAAGTTTCTTTTTTAAATTTGTTTTATATTAATTTTACTTTCTTGAATAACTTTCAGATTTTTGTGAAATATATGCCTGTCATATTTTCAATTTACTTTATAATTAGTTTTATAATTAAAATTGAATTTGTTTTCCATTTAATTAATTTTTATCATAAAATTAAATTTCGTGTGGATGTCTTTAATTTTATTCCTCAATTTTATATTCCAATTTTCGTTTCGCCAAAATAACTTCATTAAAGACAAAGCACTTTTGTGTATATATGTCACTACATGCATAATCCGACGCATCTGTGTGCGTTCGACATTTTACATAGACCTTTCGAGACATGGGAATACTGGCCTCAGGCCTTTCGAGAACCGAGGCTGAGTCACGTCTTTGTTCCGGGGTTGATAACAATCGGTAGCGACAAAAGCTCGCAACATTATCTCTTTCTCTTTCTCTCTGTCTCGGCACATCGTTACACATTGGTTAAGACCAAACGATCCCGTTATATCGAGGGGAGCAATCTTGATACGCGATGCGCTCTCGAAGTCGGTCCTCGAGCCTCCTTCAGCACTAATAGCGTTTGACCCACCATTTTCACTATTCTTCGTGTTTCTTATCTCCTCGAGAGAAAAAAATTGTTCAGGAATAAATCAACCTGATATCGACCTTGAACTTTACACATACATTTCTGTGTGTCACAATAAGATATACAGAACTTTCAACATCAATCGCGCTTTTTTTTCTTTTAATGCAACGAAATTGAAAGATCACCCGTCCAATGCACTTGGTGCACAGAGTCCAGTGATGTTCGTCGGTGCAAATGCCATTTAACGGAGTTGAAATGAGCGCGTCCCGACGCGACTCGGTCATAACGGTCTCGGCAAAATGAGAAATTCCAACAAGTTTAATGAAAGTATTTAACGGGCAAAATTGCCGACTCCGCTCGCCAGCTCGACATGCGCGCATGAAAAGATTGAAACCGGTGGTCGGGTGACTTTAACTTCAACCGTTGATATCAAGCGATGCAGTAGCGTCGCGACGCCAAATACATAAAAAAACAGGTCCATAATTCTTCTCTCCCTTCCCATACGGTACAGAAATATGGCAGCAACATTGCAAAAATATTTCTTTGCAAGATTGCAACATTGCAGAAAGATTGCAAAATGTTGCTGCAATATTGCAGCAACGCTAAAATGTCCGCTTGTAGAAATATTGCAATGCAATATTGCAGCAATGTTACGGTGCAACGTATTTGTAATATTAAATGCGTTTTGCTACAAATGCAGACACCGTTTTAAATTTAATAAATAAACTTTGAAAATATAAAAAAATGTTTAAGAAAGGAAAAAATGAATTATTAAAAATTTATTTTAATAATTCTAACAATTTGTTCCTTTTTTGCATATTACATCCATAATTTGTGGTTTTTTTTTTGCCTAAATTATATCAATTATATTTCATTTGGAAAAAATGCCTTTAAAAAAACAGCTATTAGTGTTTTTATTAGATGTTTCTTAAATATTTATCTCAATAATACTCAATATTACAATTATTTTACATACATTCGACACCAGAATATTTTAATACGTGCAATAAATGAATTATTTCCTATTTACTCATTCAATTAAGAAAAATCTGTTTAATATTCTGAAACCCAATGAAGGATCCAGATTATTAAACAAATTATCTCTCCCACATTAGGATTCAGAATATTAAGTAAATCAAGTCAGTTTATCGCCAGAAATTAAACTGACACAAGACAAGAAATATAATTACTACATTAATCTTTTGTAGACCTTATAACCATCTTAGATGAATTCGAATACGAGTTAGTTAAATTGGGTGTTGCCGCATAGCGGCAAGTAAAGAAACACATGTTATACATTTTCGCTATGTTAAAACGTTGCTGCAACATTGCCAAAGTAATATTACAAAATAATATCTCTGCATTATTGCTGCAACATTACACTGCAGTGAGCAATATTGTAACATTGCAGCAACGTTGCAGCAAGCTTCTGTGTTGTATGGGTTTTTCAGTGCGCACATATATATATATATATATATATATATATATATATATATACATATATGCGCACTGATATATATATATATTTTTTTTTTTCTATAATTCTCCTCCATAATATATTTTTTAATGTTCGATGTGCGTTTGACAATGGCATCTGTAAACGGACATTTCTGCTGTGGTTTAATGAAATTTCAAGTAACGAGCCAATTACTGATTAACTGCCTGGAGCGGCACCGATCGCGTTGTACATAAAAGTTTTTTAACTAGATTTTCACACAACGGCCAAGCATCCTCTCTCTCTCTCTCTCTCTCTCTCTCTCTCTCTCTCTCTCTCTCTCCCTCTCTCTCTTTCTCTCTCTCTCTCGATATTTCCGCGTCGCTTCATAAAGACGCATTAGAGGCGAAATTAAAACCCACGGGAAACCCAGCGGTTTCGTTAGTCGCTCGTTCTCGCGTTGTTCTCAATTTTCATTAGCTGGTCGCTTTAACGCGCGAACGAAGGATTTTGTTACGCTTTAATAGTTAAACCATTCGCCCTGCGTCAAGTCGTGTCGCATTTTCTGCAGCGACCTACCTAGTTAGGATAACGAGATGGGCGAGGTTAAGTTCCTTCTTGTCTCTCTCCCTCTCTTTCGCGAATATTTTTAGGGAAAATATTTTGCCGAGGACACAGTATTATCGATAGGGTTTCATCTCTCGTTACGATATTTAAAAACTCAACATTCAGAAATCGCCACAGTATCGCTAATGGATATTGCTACGTGCTAAAGATTGTGGAAATGCACAGCGTCGGCACAAAATGATATCAAAGGATATTTATAAATGCTAACGACACGCTCGGCGTAGCGTTGTCTCTTTATACCGGCAGCAATTAATATGTCACTCTGGAAAAAAAGTAGCAGCTCTCTCTCCCTCTCTCTAATGCTATTTCCAGCACTTCCGGAATTATAAAATCCATATAAGCAAATCATCTTTTTTTCATATGATATTTACTGAGTGTTCCATTTATTGCCATGTGAATATACATCGAGTTTACTTTTCCAGTTCTTTTTATAATGATTAAAAGACGAATCAGAAAAGGGGAGGAAATTATAGCAGTGCCGAGGCAAGTTTGAGAGTTGAACGTTCATAAATATCGAGTGCGCCACTTTCCTCGGTTTCACAGCCATCGTCTTTCCTTAATTCACCGCCCTATCGAGAATCGATCCTTCTATATGAAACATGCAAATTGCGAGGGGAGAGCATTAGAGTTACTTCTCGACTGTTTATTGCATCCCCGTTCGTGGAATATAAAAATGTCGCGATTAAAATTCCCGAACACAGCTACTCCCGTATAAGTTAGACGACGCGGTTTCTCACGAATGCGTGTTAGACGAAGCGTGTGTTAAGAATCTTTTAATCCCACCCGATGTAAATTATGAGAATATTATTTTCGCAGAGAGAAAGAGATGCCATCGAATACTATCAACGGATGGGAAAGCAATTTTAGAACATTTTTGTCAGAGAAAGAATTATGGAATCTTTTCAATATCCTCGATTCTAACATGATTCCATCGGATTCTTCTCGTATAAATCGAAAGTTATAGCTATCTTACACGAAAGATAAAAGAGATATTCTTCGTTTCTCGAGAATTCATGTTCTTCTATTTTCTTCAAACATACCTTTCCTTGAAAATATATATTAAGCTCGACTTTTAAATCGTCTAAGGGATTGCTTATCATCTCGTAGGACGCCATTGTTCGCTGTACTCTCTTCGCGGTTTTATTATCACGGAAAAAATTGTATTCTTAACTTAAGAATATGCCACTTATCTTTAGAATATATTCTACTAAAATAGGCATCAAGAGGATCCTCTTAAGTTAAGAGGAAAATCTTCTAAAGAGATATTCTTAACATACAGAGAAAAATGTTTCTTTGGATTTAATAAACTTTGTTGAAGTCAAATAAATTTAATTATTGGAAAAGTTTTTTTTCGTTTAATTTCAAATAATATGTTTAATATTCTGAATCTCAACAAAAAATCCAGGTTATTAAATAAATTATTTTAAATTCAGTTTGAAATTAAACTGATAAACAGTGATGTCAGAAAGAAGATGCGGCTCAAAAATGCACACAATCACCTGTGTGTGAGCAGCGTCCTCTTTCTCGCACCACTGTTAAGAGAAAAAAATATACTTTAGATCTTACGTTAATACAAGTCATTTATACATTTCATGATAAATATTGAATACGAAAAGAAAAGTCAAGAGTGTAGCGACAAATGAAGAAACATGTGCCATTGCATTGCACGCATGTCGCGCACGCGGAAATCGAGTTGCGGCGCAGAAATCGCAAATTAAGAATATATTCTTATTTATTAAGAATATTTATTAAGAGGACTTATAAAATACACGGTAAAAAACATTTTGTATTTCTGTTAAAATTTTCTCATGTAAAAATTTTTGTGTTAAATTTTTAACATACTCTTATGTTAATGTAACATATTATCGTTGCATTATTTTGACATTTCTGCGTTGAGTTAATATTCACCGTTTCTAAGAGTTAAAACAACACAATTAATATGTAAATGCACGAATTTTTGATTAAATATATATGTTAAAATGTTATATGTTAAAATGAACAGATAAGTTGTGTTATTTTTCCCTCTATAACAATTTCCATATGTTAGATCGATCCATATGTTATATCTCTTCTGTTATTTATCATAAAAATGTAAGAATAACATTTTCTTTTAATTAAATTTAACATTATAAATATGTTAATTTAACATAAACTTTATTTCCAGATGAAGTTTAAGTATTACACTTTTGTGTTAATTTTTAAACATATTACTTGTGTTATTTATTTACATACTTGCCTTTTGTTAAATTAACATTAAAATTAGAGTGGATAAATTGGGACATGTGAAATATGTTAAATATAACACAAAATTTTTTATACATTTCAAGAATACAATTTTTTCGATGATATTCTCAACATTTTCCGACACTAAATATGACTATTACATTATTAAAATGAAAAGAAGGTATTCAAGAGAGACATGCTGAGAGTATTAATGTCATTCGCGAACACTCACCTGTTCGTAATTTCGTATAAAATCGCGGAGTTCGCGCTCCTTATCCTCGAGGGTGCCGTAAAGCGCCTTCATCTGATTGAGTAGATCGAACTTCTCCGCTTTGAGCCGCTTCCGGTCGGCCTTCAGCGCCTGCAACGCTTCCTTCGCGTGCTGCAGTTCCACTTCCAGGGCGACGAAGCGGGCCTCTTCCTCCATCGCGGCGTCCTCGGCGCCGACCTCGCCGCGTGCCGCCCCGCTCAGCAACAGCCTCCTCAACCTCGCGACCTCGGCTACCAATCGCTCGTTCTCCAGTCGCAATCTCCTGGCACTGGCCAATTCCGTGTGTCCGCCGCCGTGAATGTTGGAGAGTCTGGATGCGACAACCGGATCGCCAATTCCTAGACACCGAAGAAAAGATTCCATTATTCAAGAGAGATAGTCATCTTCTCACCCCATACAGCACAGAAATATGGCAGCAACATTGCAAAAATATTTCTTTGCAAGATTGCAACATTGCAGAAAGGTTGCAAAATGTTGCTGCAATATTGCAGCAACGGTAAAATGTCCGCTTGTAGAAATATTGCAATGCAATATTGCAGCAATGTTACGGTGCAACGTATTTGTAATATTAAATGCGTTTTGCTACAAATGTAGACACCGTTTTAAATTTAATAAATAAACTTTGAAAATATAAAAAAATGTTTAAGAAAGGAAAAAATGTCTTTAAAAAAACATTTATTAGTGTTTTTATTAGATGTTTCTTAAATATTTACCTCAATAATATTACATACAATTATTTTACATACATTCGACACCAGAATATTTTATAATACATGCAATAAATGAATTATTTCTTATTTACCCATTCAATTAAGAAAAATCTGTTTAATATTCTGAAACCCAATGAAGGATCCAGATTATTAAACAAATTATTTGTTTAATAATCTAGATCCCTCATTAGGATTCAGAATATTAAGTAAATCAAGTCAGTTTATCGCCAGAAATTAAACTGACACAAGACAAGAAATATAATTACTACATTAATACTTTGTAGACCTTATATCTATCTTAGATAAATTCGAATACGAGTTAGTTAAATTGGGTGTTGCCACGTAGTGGCAAGTAAAGAAACACATGTTATACATTTTCGCAGTGTTAAAACGTTGCTGCAACATTGTCAAAGTAATATTATAAAATAATGTCTCTGCATTATTGCTGCAACATTGCAGTGAGCAACATTGCAGTGAGCAATATTGTAACATTGCAGCAACGTTGCAGCAAGCTTCTGTGCTATATGAGACAATTTATACGAATATTTAATTCATTCTTCTATTATAAAATAGATTGTAAAAAAAATGTAAAATGTGATCCTGTTTTCGTGATTCCACGTTATCAAAACGATTGTTTTTTAACATGAATTATATTTCGTGTGAGAGAACACGTTATCAATTTGTAAGGCTCACAATGCGATTCGTGTATCTATTATACGGTTCGTGTATTTCCGGAATGATATAACGCTGCGAGATCCGAAGCAACAGTGTTCTCAGGTAACGCAATGGACGACCCGCTATCCGAGATAATCCGCGCTCAATAAGACCGAAGTGTGAAAAAAAGATGGATCGACTAATATAATAGCCGCCATTAATTAAAGCTCCCCCGGGTTACCTACCGAGAGAATTAGCCGGGGACGAGGGTCTGCTACTCGGTGCCGGTCCGGGCGGTTCATTGTCCTCGTCGCCACGCGCGTCGCCGTCCACCAGATCTTTATCGGCGTCCTTCTGGTCGTGATCGTTCATCTCCTTGCTGGATCGCAGGGAGTCGCGGTTAGTCGATATCCGGAGCCGCTCCACACTGGAACGGTCGCTGCCGCCACGATGCAGGAAACCGCCGCCACCCCGATTGGCCGAGCCCCGATCCGGACTCGCGCTGCCCGATCGGGAATCCACGCTGCCGCCGGATCCACCCAGCCGCGTCTTCTCCAGGGCGGGAGCGTACGGTCGACGGGCCTTCTCGCTCGGGCTACGGCAGGGCGAGCCATTTCTTCGTTCTGGAAAAGAAAGAGAGTTGGAACTTTTTTTCGAATCTTTTCCAATGATAAGAGGGTCTTCATAAAATGCTAAAAATACCTTGGCATTCAAAATATAAAGAAATTTTATATAATATTCTATACTTATACAGGGTGGATCAAAAGTCTGGATACAGTCGAATATCTCGTATAGAATGCATTTTAGAAATGCTTTACACAAAAGTTGTAAGGATTAAAAATATGTATTTAACTGTAATATAATATTTGACATTGAGTAGCGTCGCCAAGGTCAGAGCAAGGTCAACTTGAATTTTTTAAACAAAACCTCCTATTTTTCATTGCATATTCTTATAGCTTATCTCGAGAGCTTTCCAAAACACTATAATAAAATATTTTTCCCTCAAGTACTTTTTGAGTTATAAGGCTTGAAATCATTTCTTAATTTTACGTAAACCGTAAAATATGTAGTAAAATATTCATTTCTCGATTATCTTACCTTAATACTTTATTATTGTACAAAATAATGAGAGGAATCAATTGGTGTAAAGAAAATATATAGTTATTTCGAAGAAAAAATATGTAATTTGCAATTAACAATTAAATATTTTTTCTTAAAAGTAACTATGTGTTTTCTTTACACCAATTGATTTCTCTCATTATTTTGTACATAAAAGTATTAAGGTAAAATAATCGAAAAATTAATATTTTGCAAGATATTTTACAGTTTATATAAAATTAAGAAATGATTTCAAGCCTTATAATTCAAAAAGTACTTGAGGGAAAAATAATTTATTATAGTGTTTTTGAAAGTTCTCGAGGTAAGCTACATGAATATGCAATGTAAAATAAGGGATTCCGTTTAAAAAATTCGAGTTGACCTTTCCCTGACCTTGGCGACGCCACTCAATGTTAAATGAATATTACATTTAAATATATCTTTTTAATCCTTACAACTTTTGTCCAAAGCATTTTGTTCTAAAATGCATTCTATATGAGATATTCGACTGTTCCAGACTTTTGGTCCACCCTGTATAATACGTATATAATATGTGTATTTTTACTTTTATGCAATATTACTCTTTTATTTTTTTTAATCGCACACACATATAATCAGTGTATATGTAATAATTAATAAATGATTAATAAATAATCAATATTTCTACAATTAAAATTCTGTTCTTTTAAAAAGTAATTAAAATTTTACCTTCGCCCGCTATCAATTTTATCCCAATAATTGTGTCATAATTATGAATCGTGTCACCGTGTATAAGTTTGGTGTATTTCGTTCAATTAGCCGCACGATGGATTTATGGAAAGTCTATTTGCAATCAGCAATGTGTAATTTAAATCGCGGACTAATTAATTTCAAACATACAATGAATTTAATGCGATGTAATTTGATCGTATCCATTCATATAGCCGCATTATTCTCTCTTAAATAACGCAGAACGATTTTCGGTAAATACCGTTCGTACAAAGCTCGATTGGAAAAGGATTCGAAATGAGCGGCGAAATAGGACGAGGAGAATAGTAGCAGCGGATGGAGAGTGTCTTATATTGGCAAGCAGAGAGAAATCGTTGGAATGAAGCCGGCCTTTATCGAAAAGTGCCGTTCGAACCATCCGAGAAGGATGCACTGAATTCGATAAGATGGATCCAGTCCGGCCGGCGATCCCGACGACGAATACCACTATGTGAAGCGCATGATTGATCGATTCGAGACGACGACGGGTACTCGTCCCGAATTTGCATGTCGCTCTCCCTTAAGTGGACCTGTTGGTATCCTTCTTTCACGGGAGAAAGAGACAGAGAGAGAGAGAGCGGACACGAGTTGCATAATGTACATACCGTGTCTTTGATCTTTCGCAAGTAGATCTTTCGCCAACACGTTTCTCGCGTCGAAATATAACATGTATTCAGCGTCATGTTGAAATTTCTTTTCGAGCGACAGTAAATTGAAATTCATAGAATGTTAATAAAATCCATACAATATTAATGTAGGAACGTCTTAGAAAGATGGAGCATCGCGAACGATTGGAAATAGACAAAGTGAAACTCCGCGTTGGATATTTTACGGAATAATATCCAACATTTATAAAGACCCAGCTCCTTAGAAGCCGCAAAAGGCAGTTTAAGGCTCGCTAGTTTGCAATGCTAGTCTCCCCCCGAATTCTGGCCGCGGGAAAAACTATGAATCATGGCTGATAGCGCAGATACACGGCTGATCATAAAAAGTAATAGTACATAAGCGCGAGATACACGGGATAAACTCTCTCCGGTGGGAAAGTTAAGATAAACGTGGAAATGCGAAAAACATTCGTCGGCCGTCTTAAAATTTCATTCTTGCCAACTTCTTAAAAAGTCTTATCCGCCGAAGCCCGCGCCAAGTTGATAACTTTCCGCCCACCTTAAGCGCATTTCCGGAGAGCTGTCTTTATGAAAATACTTTTGCGAAATAAACTTTCAATGTTCAATTCACTCCCCCCTCTCTCCGGAAGTTCTCTCCCGTGGAAAGATCGTCGAGAGAATTCACGAATATCATTTCACTCGCAGCTTCTTACGCTACTAATCGTATTCCGAGCCGGTTACTCCTTCGCAGTAAATTTACGTTGTTCACACTGAGAAAAAAATCTGATTGCGTTAATTAGAATTCTGATAGATTCAACCAGTATGTCTGTTAGAAAATGGACGAACCAGAATTCTTGTAGAAATTACCAGATGAATCTGATTAATTTCTTCCTGTTAAATTTATCAAATTTTCTAGTTAATAATACTAAACTTGCCAGCACCAAGTCGTTTAAAATTTTTTCCATTTAATTTCAAAAGTCTATTTAATATTCTGAATTTCAACAAGATTATTGAATAAATTCAATCCAGATTATTGAATAAATTATTTTAAATTCAGTTTGTTAGAAATTAAACTGATAAGCAGTGATGCAAGAAGAGGATGCAGCTCAAACACACACAATCAGAGAGCTAGCGTCCTCTTTCTGGCAGTACTGCTCGTAAGAGAAAAAAAATACATTGAGAAAAAAATCTGGTTGCATTAATTAGAATTCTGGTAGATTCAACCAGTATGCCTGTTGGAAAATGGACGAACCAGAATTCTTGTGGAAATTACCAGATGAATCTGATTAATTTCTTCCTGTTAAATTTACCAAATTTTCTGGTTAGGTTAGGTTAGGTTAGGTAAGGTATAATACTAAACTTAACTTTAATAATACTAAACTTCCCAGCACCAAGTCGTCTAAAATTTTTTCCATCTAATCTCAAAAGTCTGTTTAATATTTTGAATTCCAACAAGATCATTAGATAAATTCAATCCAGATTATTGAATAAATTATTTTAAATTCAGTTTGTTAGAAATTAAACTGATTAAACAGTGATGCAAGAAGGGGATACACACATAGCTCAAACACACACAATCAGAGAGCTAGCGTCGTCTTTTTGGCACTATTGCTCGTAAGAGAAAAAAAATATACTTTGGATTTAATGTTAATACTAATTCTTTATATACATTTCATGACAAATATTGAATACGATTTAAGTTAAGAGTGATTTGCCGCCTAGCGGCAAGCAAAGAAATTAATGTAACAAGAAATTTTATAGATCCAACCGGAAAATACTAACGAAATCCTTATAGTAAAATCTATTATACTATTCTAGTTCTAAAAAATCGAGTTTTATCATGATAACTAGAAATTCTTGTTTGATTTAACCAAAATACCTTCAATCATATATGTCTTATTGATACAATCAAACGATTTTTCTCAGTACAAGTACTTCGTTGCAATTTTTTAAGCGAGAAATAAAATCAAAGATCAGGGCGAGAGAATAAACTTTAATTAAAAATCGAAAAATATATCATGTACCTATGGGACTGGCTCGTCGATCGATGGGACTGGTTCTTTCTTTCCGGTCTACCGGACTGGCCCTCTTGTCGATGGGACTGGCGGACTTGTCGCTGGCCGAGCTTCTCTTCTCGACCGGGCTGCTGCCGGCGCTGAGTCGCTTACCGTCCTCCTGTTGCTGAGCCTCGGTTTCTTGGTCGGGGTTTCCAGCGGAGGCGCCTGTCGCCGCCCCGGGGTTGTTGTTGCTGTTGGTGCTGTTGTTGCCGGCGTTGTTGTTGTTCAGAACGATCGGCAAGGCGCCGCGGACGTCGCGCAACTCACCTCGAAGAGTCGCGCACTCGCCCCTGGCGCGCTCCAGCTCGCCGTCGAGCCGGGCGCCGGTCGCTGCGTTCTCCTCCACCATCACGCGGAATTTTGCCTGCAGAAAATGAAATTGAAAGAAAAATCGATTAAACGGAATCTGATAAAATCGAAACTGCACGAGTTCGTAATTAATTCGTTAGCTCCTCGAGTAATTTAAGACAAGGTTAAGAAATGGGAATAACTTAAAAATAAATAATTTACAAAAAATGTAATTTTACTGTATAATAGTCCTAAATACATCATTCTTAAGAAAATTAATAAAAAAAGTGATGTGACTTGAGAGACCTTTTCCCAAAAATACCTGCGGCAGTTAACGTGTTAATATTCTTAGATTAAAAACTCTCTGATTCTTGCTTAGATTTAGAAAACAAGTTAAAAATAATAAAAAAAAATAATTTACAAAAAATGTAATTTTACTGTATAATAGTCCTAAATACATCATTCTTAGGAAAATTAATAAAAAAAAGTGGTGTGACCTGAGGGACCTTTTTCCAAAAATACCCGCGACAGTTAACATGTTAATTATATTCTTAGGATCTAAAAAGACTCTCTGAATCTCTTGGCTTCAGATTTCAGAGATATTTAAAGTATAATCAGACAAATACTTGAGAATTCAGAAATTTCTTCTTTTTTTAAATCCGGTCAAGACTGGCACGAAAGTTCGAGACCAACTGTCGGCTCGTAGTTTGTCATTTTCGCGAGACTATCGACGACATTAATGAACGCCCAAGTAAAACGACTAAGTCCATAACAAGATAAAAGTTTTGCCCGGGACTTTGCCGCATATTATTATAAGTCTGCTTACGTCGGTCGGCTCATTACGCTATTGTGTAGGGGTTGTACGGAGAGCTCCTTACTTACACCGCAGTGAAATCGACTGATATCGTCACGTCTATTCAGAAGTTTGCACGAGCGACGTCAAACGCGCCTTCGAAGTCGCGGCACGAATCACTGAAATTGCGAAACAGAGAAACACCCGGGACACGTAATGTCGTATTTCTTTCGCAGTTCGCATTAGAGGTAACTCCGGGATAAGTAAGACGCTATTTCCTCGGACTACGAAATCGGGAAGGTATGCAAGGATAGGAGAGGAATGTCTTTGAGAGAGTCTCGATGCCATTCGCGCAAATTTTCCATCTTGCGAATGTTTCAATCGAAGGATAAAAATATTCAAGTAAAAAGTAAATATTTTTACGGTTCTTTTAATTTTTTTAATGGGTTTTCATTTGTTTAAAGCGAAAAAGAAAAATTTTACCAATAAAAACTTTAATACCAGATTTGGAATTTTTGGAATATCTATATGTGTAGTGAAATATCTGTATGCAAATCTAATATTTAGTTTTTATAATGAAACACTTTAAGAGAAAGAGGGGTGAGGAAGAGAGAGAGAGAGAGAGAAGAGAGAGAGAGAGGAAGAGAGAGATTCTATTTGAATTGACATGAAATAAATTTCCTTATATCAATAAAATATATCTTTCGACTCTAAATGTCAATAAGATAGACATTAATGTTAACATGTAATGCAAATATTAGAGGGAGACTTAATTATAACAAAATTATTAAAATTTTTACATGAAAACTAAAAAAGAACGCAAATTATATATTATATATATATATATATATATTTTAATATTATTATATTATATAATATATTTATAGTATTTAAAGTTATAAAATGAGATATCTTGAAAAGGATGCATTTTCGGAAATTTTGTCAACGGAAAAAGATATTTATTTTTTTACAAAGAATACAATTTGTATCTACATAACACACTCTCTGTATGTATCTATTCTTGATTATCTTCATTTAAAAATAGTTTCATCATTTGTCTATGATACATGCGAGTCTCACGAAGGAATTATTAATCGCACCCGATGCAAAATCAAAGCGGAGCCCTTTAACAGATCAATGAGATTCTACTGTTGTCCGTAATAATTCCCAGAGATGCTAATTTATATGGTTGCAGAATTCTACATGAATAATAGATGGCTCTCCCGTATCTGGACTGATGTACGGATTCATCATTAGGATAGATCAATGATATAATATGTTCCTTGTAATTTGCTGCTATGTGCACTGAGTAAAAAATAATCAAATTCGAATCGAAGCGTGACTTTTAACCATCGATCTCGAATAGAAGATGATCGTGATGCGTGACGTAAATTGTTAATAGTTTGATTCTATTATTTACATAATTTTCAATGCACTAAAGAATTTCAGATAATTTAAGATTAAAAAAAAAATATATATATATTTTTTTTTCTTAATCTTAAATTATCTGATATATATATAATATTTATATATATATATATATATATATATGCATCATCATTAAAATTTAATAATTAAAATAAATCGATCAATTCTAACAATATATAAGCTGTTAAATGCGTTATAGAATTTGGTATTCATTGATGTATTATTTATGACTGTGTACAGGAGAGATTTACATTATTAATGACTAATTCCTTCCGTTGATAGATGTATTAATTGTTATATTAATATGTCATTAATACCTATCAGATTGATTTACTTACGCTGTGTATAATTTGAAATCATTATTACTTCTGTTCTATAAATATTATATACAGGGTGTTCTAAAAAGGTATGTCAAAAATTTAAGGAGATATTCCTCACACCTAAAGGATGAAAAAATATTATATGGACATAAGTGCGGAAATGCTTATTTTAGTAGTTATGTTGAAAATACTGTTAGCTGTATTACTTACACAAGGAAAAATTTAAGATTAATTATTGAAGACGACAATCGTTTAATTAGGCTTATTTACATTTGGTTTTAATGTGACCTTGAGTATGTTACAATAAATGTTGAAATTGTTCACCATTTTCCTAAATACAAGCAGTGACACGTCGACGCATCGATTCACGGACACGTTCAAAAATACCTGGCGTACAGCGGATTCGCAACCTGCAGTGATACGGTCACGAAGATCTTGAATATCAAACACTGATGGCATTTTTGAACGTGTCGATGCATCGACGTGTCACTGCTTGTATTCAGGAAAATGGTGAACATTTTCAACATTTATTGTAACATACTCAAAGTCACATTAAAACCAAATGTAAATAAGTCTAATTAAACGATTGTCGTCTTCAATAATTGATCCTAAATTTTTCCTTGTTTAAGTAATACAGATAACAGTATTTTCAACATAACTCTTGAAATAAGCATTTCCGCACCTATGTCCATATAACATTTTTTCATCTTTCAGGTGTGAGGAATATCTACTTAAATTTTTGACATATGTTTTTAGAACGCCCTGTATATATATTCATATATATATATATATATATATATACAGGGTGAGCCATTTTAATTTATCCACCCCAATAATTTTTTTATATTTGAATGTACAACAAAATGTTTCAAATAAAAGTTGCTTGACTTCGAGGGGGATAGAAGATGGATGGCAAAAATTTGACCTTGGATAGTCATTTGAAGGTCGCATAAAGGTTACCTTCAATTTCTTAAATGGAACCCCCTATTTTTCATTGCATATTCTTGTAGCTTATCTCGAGAGCTTTTCAAAACATTATAATTAAGTACCTTTTCATTAAGTACTTTTTGAGTTATAAGACTTGAAATAATTTCTTAATTTTACATAAACCATAAAATATCTACCATTCATTTTTCGATTATCTTACCTTGATACTTTTATGTACAAAATAATGAGAGGAATCAATTGGTGTAAAGAAAAAACATAGTTGTCTTTAAGAAAAAATATGTAATTTGCAATTAACAATTCCATATAAAATGGCTCACCCTGTATATATAATTCAAATATACAGGGTGGCCCGGAATGTTCCAGCCAGACTTTGAGATCTTATAGGAAATTTAATTCTGAACAAAAAATTTCCTATAAACATGGGTCGAAAAATGCTTCCTTAAAAAGTTATCGCTCAAAAACCTCTAATGAAGGAAGAGCAAAAGGTGAAAAGAAAATGAAACTAAATAAATTTCATGAAAAAAATGATAAAAATAAAAAATAAAAATTTTTTTCTTTTATGAAAATAAAATAATTTTTTTTAACTAATATTTTAGTAATAGCACGTAATAGTAGAAAATGAATAAAGACGTTTTTCAAGAAATTTATTTAGTTTCATTTTCTTTTTACTTCATTTTCTTTTCACCTTTTGCTCTTCCTTCATCAGAAGTTTTTGAGCGATAACTTCTTAAGAAAGCATTTTTCGCATATTTATAGGAAATTTTTTGTTCAGAATTAAATTTCCTATAAGATCTCAAAGTTTGGCTGGAACGTTCGGGGCCACCTTTTATATATATATATATATATAATTATTATATAATATATATTATTATATATATATAATTCAATGATGCGCAATTCAATAATGAAAAATAATTTCTAAAAACGCTTTTGTAATACTTGGAAGAAATCAATCGATTTAAAAGGTAAATTGATAGTAAAAAGTGATACTTCAAAGAACACTTCGGAATGAACACGATAAATTATAGATAAAATATTTTTTACGAGTAACATTTGTGTATCGAATCGCAAAAGTGCTGATATTCGCGGATGCGGTTTCATCGCAAGCCCTGGTATCTCTCCTAGGAAATGCGGTCAAAATTGAACGTTTCGCGGATTCAGACGGCCGATCGTTGTGGGCCACCGCAGCACCGGAAACGCAAACGAGGCTCTCTGAAATTTGTAGTCTCGATGCGACCGAAAGCGAATGCCTTTCCAAAGCCGCCGCGTGCACTTAAGCGGCTTTCGGTAATCGCTTAATGACGCGCTGTCAAACGTGGGAAATTTCTAGTTGCGACTTCCTATATTCGCTGGTATATACGAACTCATACACACACACACATACACACCAGCGAAAATAATCCTTACGTTACTACTTTGGGATGGAAAGATTCGTTTCATTTTACAAGGAGGGATTTTAACGAGCTTTGCGCTCGAAATATCGAGACCAAAATGATGCATCATGATTTATAAATGTTACCTTTTCTATTTCTCTCAAATATGGACGTGAACAAAATTGTCACGTTTTATATCCTCTTATTTATATCC